ATAAACTGAATAGAAACAATCCTTGCCTTACTAGATTACAGGCAGGAGAAAGTAAAAGCAAATGGATTGCTGGCTCCCTGCTGCATGCTTGAGTTCACAGACTCCATAGCACTTGCTGAATGTATGCTATATATACACTGGAGACCAAGGCGAAGAGAAGGAATGCACATGCCACACATGGTTACAGTGATATAAAAGATGTTGCTAGAATTTTTGCTCGTTTGTTTTAAGACAGATTTTCAGAAAGTTTCCTGGACCAGCTCCTCACGCTGACAACAGAGCACCCATGCTATTAGGCATCCTTCATGTGGTGAACCAGTGACAGTGACCACAAGCATTTCATCTGCATAAGGTCTGAAAATAGAGTGCTAGGAAACACTAGACTTTACATAAACAGTCACCCCTAAAGCAGACTTCAGGAAAACTGGTTAGGTAAAAACCCAACAAAATGACTCCATACCTTGCATGACTCTATAAAAAGCAGACATATTCTCCCCCTCCTCAAAGCACTTTTTACTCACAGATGCAAAGGAAACAGAGATGCATTTGCTAAAACATAGTACCAGCTTCAACAGAAGCTGTTACAGTCACTGATCTCTTTGTCAGAGCACCCTGAGTGCTGTTCAACACCAAATGACTTCTGCTGAGATCTGCTGCATAAGAGCAAGAAAAGGCTATTTACAAATTTTAAAAGGAGACAGAAAACTGTGCTGGATTTGTGTTTTCACATTTACACTGTGGAAAAGCACAATGACAAAATGGAGAAGACAAATCATGAAAAAGCCAAGGTGAAACACATATATATAGATATGCAAAAATGTATATATAAAACCTGGAATGATATTTTTATATTTTATGTAATATATAAAAAGATAATATATAATACTGTACGTTATGTTATATATAAACATCATTCCAGTTTATTATGCAAAAGGGAATAACCAGAAAAGTTGGAAGACTGGTACACATGGCATTGTCATCAACAAGTCGGTACCATCTTTGTCTACTTTATCTTGCCATAATTTATGAAATCCTGTTATTCCTGAATGTTGTGGGTGTAAATGCACCAGCAGCATCTGTGTAACAAACAGTGCCGAGATGCAGGTCGAGCGAGAAGCATTGTAAGAAGTGCTTTGTTAAAAACAACACTTTTCACAATTCGAATCAGAACAGTAACACAGAACCAAGGTTTCACTCAAAAAACCATAGTTAAGCAAGATTGTCTCCTTTCTCTGCAGCTGCCACTTTCTTTTTAAACTTGCAGACACTGTGACCACACCACTGACTCTCAGTATGTAAACCTTTCCCTCTGCCACATGACTTTGACTTTCCTTCTGCCACTCTGACTTTGTATCAGCAATAGTGTGGGCAGCAGAACGAGGGTAGCAATCGTGCCCCTGTACTCGGCACTGGCAAGGCTGCACCTCCAGTCCTGTGTTCAGTTTTGGGCCCCTCATGACAAGACAGACATTGAGGAGCTGGAGCGTGTCCAGCAGTGAAGCTGGTGAAGGGTCCAGAGCAGAAGTCCTCTGAGGAGCTGCTGAGGGAGCTGGAGCTGTTCAGTCTGAAGGAAAGGAGGCTGAGGGGAGACTTCGCTCTCTACAACTCCCTGAAAGGAGGCTGTAGTAAGGCAGGTGTTGGTCTCTTCTCCCAAGGAAGAAGTGATAGGACGAGAGGAAATGGCCTCAAGTTCCACCAGGGGAAGTTAAGATGGCATGTTAGGAAAAATTTCTTCATCTAAAGGGTTGTCAGGCACTGGAACAGGCTGCCCAGGGAAGCACTTGAGTCACCATCCCTGGAGGTATTTTAAAGACATGTAGATGTCATGCTTAAGGACATGGTTTAGTGTTAGGTTTATGGTTGCACTCAATGATCTTAAAGGTCTTTTCCAACATGAACAATTCTGCAATTCTGTGTTTCTATGATACAAGGGGACAGCAGCCAACTCTTAAGGATGAGGCAGTTATCTCTACAATCAGTAAACACCTTGGATTCAGCACAGGTGGGTAGCCAGAGCTGTAATGACAGCAGCACATCATGATGAAACATAACTATGTCATTACTAGCTAAAGTTTGACCATGAATGGCCACAAAAACCCTTGTAAAAGGGAAAAAAGAAATCCCAAACAAGCCCCAAGCAACAGCTGTTTCTCTGTCCCCTGTAACTTCTCTGAAACCAATTTGTTTTATGTCTGTTACATACAGTCCACCCAGAAGAATGTGGTATTCTTCCCAAGCACAAAGTTCTAAAACCACTTTGGGTTTCTCAGCACAAATGAGGATTTGCTGTCAGTCGTCTTAGTCAGGCTATTACCATTACCAGTTATTTCAAGGGACATGATGTGATTTTACTGGAGGGCAAGGTAGATACTTCTCACCCTTTCAGTCAACCTGCAGAATAAATGCCAAGATGTCAGGCCGCGATCAACGTGCAGGTACTTTATGTAGCAGCCATTACAGAGAAATGTCCCAATTACCTCCTGTAACTCATTTTCTTCATCTTCTGTAATCAGCTAAGGGAAGAACCACATGCTTGCATCTATGAAAATCAAGTTCCCATTAAGTCATATATCCACTCCCTACTCCCATAATACACTGAAGCAGTCTGAAAGAAGGTGCCTTGGCTAGCATAAAAGACTCACTAGGAAAGTTTAGGCACTGGTGCACCCAATATCAAACTAAATTTGGTTAGAAAAAGATAAAGAGTTTGCCTCACTTAACTAAACATGTATCTAAGCCCTGCAGGTCTGCCCAGAGAGAGATAGGCAAACAGAGACAAGAACAACTACCTCACATCCACATTCCTTCAAAAACACGGCTCTGGAAGTTGTGACCCCTGCCTAACAGTTGAGCTGGGAACATTCGTTGACCAAGACCTGCTGCTTTGCGATCCTGCACTCTGCCCAGGGAGAGCAACGCTCTTTTTCAGTAACTAAAAAAACCAAATCAATTTTCTCCAGCTTTGGAAATAATAAACTAGACCCTTACTCCCTGATGGGAACAATCATCAGAAGTACTGTGCTCAAAATGATTATTTTGCTGGAACTAAAGCTGTCTGAAGCAGCAAGGTGAGCAAAAACACGAGTAACAAAACCACCTTTCAATCACAAGTGAATTAAAATGAATATTAGTTTGAATGGGTGTTGTGAAACCACACAACAAGCTGTGAAAGCTGTCTGAGCTGTCACAGGAGATTAGGTACTATTCAACCCTCCTTTACAATAAAACAATAATAATAAAATCAACCAACATTTCCTGTTCCGCTCCCTACCCTAGAATTTTTTTCCCCAAATAACACTTTGTAAGCAATACCAATAAAAAAACCAGTTATATCATCCACTTGGCTAGTGCTATCTGCATTCCAAATGAAAAAGTTAATTGCACTGAGACCAAGAAAAGAGTTCTGGAGGAATGAAGACAAATGCACTTTATTCTCTTAAGTCTAAATACACATTACAAAACAAGCATGTACCTATCTCCATGGCAATTTAAAAGTCATTATCATTCTTTTCTTCACACATCTCTCTAGGCTAGGGGACACAGGCAGCGTAACCGCCAGGTTTTTAAGAGCACTTGGTTCATTTTGGAGGTTACCGCAGTCTTGAAGTAATGAGTTTTCAGCATTTGCTATCTCCCTTTCAATTGCTCTACTGATCCGACCAGATTTAGCACAGAAAGTCCTTTATCAAACACACATCAGAGAAGTATGTGTAAAGTGATGGTTGGTAAAATCATTTGTTGTATTCAAGAAGAGATAAACAAAGGGTCTGCAAGTAAATGGTGAAGCCCAGAATCCACATTTGTTTTTCCTG